TTAGCCACCCGTTTCTCTGCTACACAGAGAAACAGTTTGAGCGTAGTACTTTCAGCTCACAGTTAAAAGAATCTCGGGTCTTATGGTTGTAGGTCAGTAGGCTAATATTGCAAGCTATTGTATTGAAACAAAAGTTTCATGACGACAGTCAAACATCCTGTAAAAATTGTAGCTTTAAACACAAGGGAATTTTTCCCCCATCCATTTTCAGCATATCTTTGGTGAATTGATCGAAGCTCATTAGCGTTTTAGTTTTGATGGCTCCCTATATTTTTCAAAATTTCTTAATATGATTTTGGCTTTTCATTTAACATATTTTGTAGTTTTGGGTTTTTTTTGTTACAAAATGTAAGAACAAGAAGTATCTTGATTGTTTACCGAAAAATCTTTATGCATATCAATAACTGTAAAATTGCCTGAGAGGTATGAAGAATAAGGGAAGTTTCCTTTTTGATTTGAAAAGACCTAATTTTTCTACTTTTTTTATTATTGTTGGGCTGATCTAAAAACTTTCAGACTTTCTTAATTTTTCTTGTGAATCTAGGATTCCTTTGCTATTTTCTGCAGAGATTACACTATGTCTTATTTTGTCACTTGTTATATTCAATAAAATAATAAAATTTAGCAACTTAAATTTTAAATTTTTGAAAATGTTTTATTGAAGAAATTGTTCACAAAGTAAAGTGTTTATATCATATAGTATATCTTTTCTTTTATTTGAAGGTGCATATATTCTGATTATGCTTACAATGTTCTCCTTTATTCTATAATTCTCTCATACTATACAATTTTAATGTATAGTTTAAGAATTTTTTTTTTCTAAATTCAGAATTAAAAGGTGATGAAGGTTGGACAAGACTTGGTTATGCTAACAATTTTGATCTGTCATATCAACATATAAAAGATACTCTGCCTCGCATTCATTGTAAAAGTATATCTCATGATGAATTTATTGCAAGGTATGAAAAACCAAGGATACCTGTTATTTTAACAGGATGCACTGATAGTTGGCTTGCAAATCAAAAATGGAAACTATCTGTGAGTAAAATTTTGTATCAATTCCTTAATTTTATTAGAATCAATTTTTTGGTTTTATTTGTATCAATTCTTTAATTTTATTAGAATCAATTTTTTGGTTTTATTTGTATCAATTCTTTAATTTTATTAGAATTAATTTTTGATTTTATTTGTATCAATTCCTTAATTTTATTAGAATCAATTTTTTGGTTTTATTTGTATCAATTCTTTAATTTTATTAGAATTAATTTTTGATTTTATTTGTATTGATTATTTGTCTTTATTTGTATCAATTCTTTGACTTTTTGACTTTAAATGTTCAATTTTTTAAGTAATAATATGTTAATACATAAAATATAATTGATATTAAAGTTTTTTTTCTTAAGTTGCAGGCTGATAGCTTATAAATTCTTAAGTTGCAGGCTGATAGCTTATAGATTCTTAAGTTGCAGGCTGATAGCTTATAGATTCTTAAGTTGCAGGCTGATAGCTTATAGATTCTTAAGTTGCAGGCTGCTTAATAATCTTATAGATTTGTAGAATGATCATAAATAGTGTTAAAAGTTGTGAAAATTGCAGAACTTTCATTTGAACTCGTTTAAAGTTTTGTTTAATTTCAATAGTTTTTATTTTTAGTTTTATTAAAGACAACATGTCTTTTTATCGTTTATCAAAACAAGAGACAAAAATTTTTTAGTTACTTGAAAAAAAAGTTACTTTATGACAAATGCATGCATTGAAAAGTAATATTTTTGATGTATACACTGATAAAAGTTGTCTTGTCCATTAAAATATTTCATATTTTTCACCAAAATTTTTTTTTTTTTATAATTTTTTTTTACATATTATATATTTACATGTTTATTACTTTATTTATGCATTTTATATATAAATATAGCTATTCTCATAAAAAAACTATGAAAATAATTTTGGCACAAAAAACTCGATTTTATCCCACAGGTGGGAGGGTGTTATTTTTTTTATGTTTTAATACAAGTATTTTTTATAAATAATTTCAATTTATACATCTAAACTAATATTTTTAACAAAACACACAAATTTGTTTAATTCTAGTGTGGCTTGTGGTCAAATGCTCATTTTCTAACAGATCAAAATAATTGAGTTTTGTTTTCATTTTGATGTTTTTAAATAATTAAGTTTAGATTAAATAACTTTATAACTTTTCTAAAGTCTTTTAAGTAAAACACTTTTAAATTAAAAGAAGACATATAAGTTATTTTTATAGTTTCATTTTCTCAAAATAGAACAAAATATCAGTTTCTGTATAAAGTTCAGCCAGAAGATACATATCAAAATTTGGTTGACTATTTTTTTACACTAATTATTTAATGTTAACGTTATTGTTAAAAAGCATACAATTTATTCAATGTTATTGTTAAAAAGCATACAATTTATTCAATGTTATTGTTAAAAAGCATACAATTTATTCAATATTATTGTTAAAAAGCATACAATTTATTCAATGTTATTGTTAAAAAGCATACAATTTATTCAATGTTATTGTTAAAAAGCATACAATTTATTCAATGTTATTGTTAAAAAGCATACAATTTATTCAATGTTATTGTTAAAAAGCATACAATTTATTCAATGTGTAAATATTTCATATGTACAGGTAAATGTTTGAATTGTTTCTATTTTTTTATTTTTTTAGTTGTTTTTATTTAAGAGTCTTGCAAAAAAGTATCGTAATCAAAAGTTTAAAGTCGGAGAAGATAATGATGGTTTTTCAGTAAAGATGAAAATGAAATATTATATAGAGTATCTGAAACATCAAAAAGATGATAGTCCTTTGTATATTTTTGATGGATCCTATGGGGAGGTAGGCTTTAGTTTTTCATTGTATAGGGCTTAAGTTTGATTTTCTATTCATTTACTAGAAAGTAGGTTTTGTTCTTTAAAGTTTTATGATATTGGATTAAGTTATTATTTTTTATATATTAGTTACTGTAGCAATAGACCAATGTTTGGAGGGTGTTTGAAATTTGAAAGAGTTACTGTAATTTTTTTATTGTGATATAATTAGCATGTAATGATAGTTTTTTGCCAAAAATAAATGTTAAATTTCCATTTGTATATTAATTAAACTTTAATTAATATACAAATAGAAAAACTTATATTTAAAATTATATATTTGAAAGACTATTACATCTAAACATTTAAAAAAATGCAAAATTATGCATCAAAAGACTAGAACGAGTTGTCAAGCCCAAGTGAAATAAGGAAAAATTTAGTAAAAGAGAAATGATAAAATAATTAAATACGTATATTGAACAGATGTTCAGAACAAAAACAAAGATACTATAGTATCATATACTGATATGTCTATACATATGAATAGATATATCAGTATTTAAAATGAATAAATATAAATTCATAGGAGGTATAAGATAAAGAAAAAACATTATTGCTTTCGTGTAATCATAATTTATGTAGTGGTGGTAATAAACTTCTCCTCAGAATCGCGTTTATTATAACTGGCGTTTCGAAGAGGCTCAGCACCAATACCTAGTTTATCCCGTCTGAAAAACATCATCGCTATTTATGCTTTACCCCGCGAATAAATTAAAATTTAAATATAAAAGTTTGTTTCTATTTGTATATTGATTAAAACTTTAATTGATATACAAATAGAAAATCTAACTTATATTTAAAATTATATATTTGAATGACTATTACATCTAAACATTGAAATATTACAAAGATTATAAATTTTTCTATTAACATTTTGTTCATTAGCACTAAATTTAGAAGAGATCAAACTTTTACTCAACACTATTTGTTTGATCAATGAAAGTTTATATATCCTTAAGTATTCAAAAGATCAAATTTTTATCACTAAGTTATTGCGTATATTTTTAATACATGATCAAGTATTATCATATTTTTAATACATGATCAAGTACTTACATAAAGTGATATCTTTAAGTGTTGGTTTTGATGTCTTACAATATACATCTGCAATATTTTCTGGGTTATTCCATCAAATTTTTATTAAGTTTCTTATGAACCATTTCAGAATTTGTTGAATCCTTTTGGTTTTGTACATATATATAAGAAAAGTACATTTTGAAAATTTCAGATCAATGACTTAGATGGTTTTTGAGAAAACACTATAGTGTGTTATTTTGCATAAGTTTTCCCTTTTTAAGATAAAATGCTATTTAATAATATATTTAATAAAACACTATTTAAATAGTGTTTTATTAAATATATTAGTAAATTATAAATATATATATATATATATATATATATATATATATATATATATATATATATATATATATATATATATATATATATATATATATATATATATATATAATATTTAGTATAGTGCAATGCAGCAATAGTAATTAGTAGTATGCAATGAATACATTTAGAAAAACAACTCCAAATATATAAAAAAATAATTTTTATATATTTGGAGTTAAAGTCATACTCCTTTTCAGAGTATGACTCCAACTCCAAATATATAAAAATTCTTTGAAGGTTAAATATTTTGTACATGCACGTTCTATACCGAGAAGTTTTACTCTTGGAGTCAGAGTCGCGATTAGTTTAGTTGTTTAGTGACTTCGACTCTGCTAAAAATATCGCAACTCTGATTCCACAGCCCTGAATTCCACAGAATTTGGTGCAAAACTTGCAGATAATATAGTAATAGAGATAATAGTATTCAGAGCTAAAAAACTGTCACAATAAAAATAAAGCTTGATGTGCTAAATAAGCAACATAAACGTTTGTGCGCAGAACATAAGTCATAAAAAAGACCAATTTTTCAGACCAGTTTAAATAATTTTTATATTCTCGTGCACATGCGGCAGCATCTTAAAATTAAGTGAAACTCCTGATACTATTAATTCCAACGATATAAATGCTGCTAATTCCTTCTTAGTTTATACAAAGTAAATTTTTATTCCCCTCAAGGTTAGATTAACCAGGATTGATCTACTAATTTTGCTATTTAAAAATGCTGATAAACTAAATTTGCATTTCTAAACACTTTTTTTTTATGATTAATCTAAAAAGTTAATGAAAATGTAATAAATATACCATAAAATTTTTTTTGTAATAAAAAAACTTATTAATTCATTAATACATAAATTTGCTTAATACTTGTATAAATTTTATTTGCTACATTTTTAAAAGGATTATTTTAAAATGTTAATGTTTTTTTAAATATACTGTTTAAAGCTATGCTCTTATAAGTGTGACTGGGGCCCTGGGTTCGGCCCCAGCTAAATATGAAACTTTTTGCAAACCCGGCTCCGCCAAAATTATAAGATTTAGCAAGAGTTGACAGCCGGGGCAAGAAAAAAATTTATAATACTTAATATATTATAATTTTATGTTTACATTAACTTTTTATTAAATACTGGCATACATTTATATATTTTTCAAATCTAATTTACTTCCAACAAGATTGCAAGCAACCACTATTAAGTTATGAGTTACTTTAAAATAGAGAATAAGTTAAAATACTAGGAAAGGTATAACTGAAGACTTAAAAAGTTGTAAGTTGTATAAAAAAGGAGAACATGTAGATGGGTAAGAGTTATATGGTTTTTTTGATGTTCAAGGTAAAAAACTGGATTAATAAAAGTTTTTATAGCTTGAAGTGACAAAAGTTTTTATAGCTTGAAGTGACATTTTATAGCGTGAAGAGACAGATAAAGTAAAAGGATGCAACTTGTTGAATAAATAGCCAAGTAAGAATGAGTTTTGGTTTATCGTTAAAGAGATAATAGCTTGGTTGAGCATTGACCATGATTGTATTTGTAGAAAAAAGAAAGAAATGTAATCTTACAACAATGGGGGAGTGGCTCAAGCTTAGCAGATATAGCAGGTCTAGTTACATTTACGATGTGCTTTTAAACTAAGTGGGTTGTTATTCGTCAATATAGGAATGCCAACAATATTGTAATATTTTTTTGCAGTAAATAAATGAGTTTTGTTGTCTAACAAAAATTGTGGATTATAAGTCCAGAATTTAAATCCAGAAGACACTACAAGCCTTAAGGCTGTTACAGAAGAGAGATCAGATTTAAAATCAGCTGCTTGTTCTATGCAATTAAAAAGTAAAGTCAAGACAAGAGTATAAAGTTAAGTCGCCACTTTAGATTTCATGAAGATGGTTATTGTAGATAAGAAATAATACAGGAGTAAAGATGTAGCCTTGTGGTACCCTTAAAGCTACTTGAAATAAAGATGAGGGCCTTCAACTATTATTATTCAAGGAATAACTTTAATACTGCAGTTAGAAAGAAACAATTTAATAACCTCAAAACCTTTATAACAAGAAACTAATAACAATGTGAAGACTAATTGTAGGGTAGTTGGAGAGGTCAAAGTGTTTTTTAGAGTTTTGAAAATTGGAACCACCTATTTAGCACTTTTTAAAAGTTTAGCGGAAATTGAAAAGAGATCTGGAGAGCACTTTTTCAAGACTATAATGGAAATCTTGTCTGTAGCACAAACTGTAGAAGTGTTTAATTGAGAACTAATTTTAGTATTGAAAGTCAGAGTGATTTTGATGTTTAACAATCAGTTAATTTGTTGAATTGTCAGGAAGAGTATGGCCATTATGTTCAAGGGTCAAATTAAAGTAAGATTTCTTTGCAAATAACTCTGCTTTATTCTGAAGAGAAGTAAAAAGATCAGACCTTTGAATAAGAGATTAAATGTTAGGCTTACTTTAGTTAATGAAACTGTTAAAGACTAACCAAAAGTCTCTAGAACCTAACATCTGAGATAAGGTACAAGCTTTTATAAACTGAGAATAACAGAGCTTAACATCAGATAGAACATTTTTAAATTGGCTTCTTGCAATAGTAAAAGGACAATAGTTCTTAAAAAAGATGAAAAAAATGATTAATGTTGACAATGTGGAGTAGAATGAGGCTTGACTTGAAATTGAAGAGAAGTAATAAAAACTTCCAAACTTTTATTTCAGATGGAATAAAAGCTTTCAAGATGCACTTTATGCATGCATATTATGGATATAAGCATATCTGTTTGCTATTTATTTAGATGCTGGCATACAATGTACTTTTATTTCTATATAAACTTTAGTATTTATATAGTGTGTTTGCCGAAAAAGATGATTAGATAGATGTGTGGTGACTCAAGAGCAAGACAAGAAAAGGAGGCATAATCTTAGACAGATTAAAAAGCGTTGTATCAAAGAATGTTTGTTAGAAAAGATTAAAGTAATTTAGGTATCAGCATGTAGAGAGGTAGCAGCTTCAGTAGAAAATGGTAGTAGTTGAATTGAAGAGAGTGTCTTATATATTGTATGAATGAGCTTTAGTTAGAAAAAAAAATGCTCTAGATTGTTTATATTAGAGAAACAGCATAAAAGAGGAAGGCTAAAGCCTGATGATGATGATGATGATGATGATGATGATGATGATGATGATGATGATGATGATGATGATGATGATGATGATGATGATGATGATGATGATGATGATGATGATAAGGCTTTATACAAATGCATATATATACAAAATATAACATGAATTTTGAATAATAAAAATATATTTTAGGATGTAAAAATGTTTATGCAGCTCCGTCACAAACCTGGCCCTGGTTATATTTTATCAAACCTGGCCCCAGCCAAATATGCACCCCGGTCATTTACTAGCTCTTATAAAACAATTCTTTAATAACCAATTAATCATTAACCCATTAACTAATCATTAACAACATCACAGGCCTTGCGATGAATAAGAACTGCGCGACGCATAAGCACGACGCGATTTTTGACGTCATTAAATTCTTTTTATTTGCTTTTCATATTTATCGACATTAACTGCA